ATTTCACATCGTTACAAAATTTTCAACTTCCCACTGCCTTGGGTATGATAAGGATGGTATGCATATACATTTATTGTTGCCATAGCCAGATGCATCCAATAAAAAGTTAGCTGAAAACAACCCCCAGCCCCACAAGAAACAAAATAGTAATGGGCTTTGATTACTCATTTCCATTCACGGCAAGATAATCGACTTGCTGCCTCGAATGGATTGGAAGACAGCAGCCTGGCCTTGCAGTGCAGGTAATTTAGTAAACTGTTTGTACTTGTACCGTAGAGAAAAATGTCTGCCCATAAATCTATCCTTTTTCCTTTTACTCCATGGAACCACTTGCATTAAGCCTTCGTAAATACTTTCCTGCCATATCCAAAAAACAAATCAACAGCTTTCTGGATGTTGTAGAACAAGAAGTAAAACAGAGGTCAGGGTACCAAGATTGTTAATCTCTGTGTGAACTTAAGTATATGATGTGTGATTGAGTACTGATTCATTTGCGCTGACGAAAACTACAAATGTAGCACAACAGCACTACCCCTTTAAGAGTACTGAAAATAGGCAAAGAAAATAAGAGAAAAACTTACCCAGAAGTGGGACATGGAATGAGAGAGACTGGGAAAACTGTCAATCCTTCTGATTTCAGTGATCTTGGTGCCACTGCTGGCTTCTCCTTCTTTATCTCTGCTGCATTCACTGTCTCCATCACCAGAAGCTGCAAAGACATAACTATGGCCATTAACTTCTCTTCTAGGTCTACCCTTCAAGGCCCTTCTCCTCCAAGGACCAAGAAACACTTTCTCTTTGTACCCTCTCTTGCTGAGAACCATAGTCCCAAGCTGCACCATCTCAGGACTAGCACTGCCGACAGAACGAAACGACCCATAACACACTTCCCATTCTGAAAGAAGAAGACTGAAACCTAGCCCTGCCCATGTAAGGACCTTCCAAGACCGTGGTGGGTGAGGAAAGTTTTGTAATCTTGGCATCTAACAGCAACCTAGGAGGAAGTTCCAGGCACTTTCGAGTAGACTCATTTGGAGTAGGAAAAAAGTGGCAAGCGTTGTACACGGCTTCGGCTTTCCCGGCTCCTCTTCCCAAGTAAATGGGACTGAGGCTGCTGAGACGTAAAATGGTGGGGTTAACGTCCCTGATTTTCCGGCGACTGCATTTGCGCATGTGAAACTGATAAAAGCGGTAGCTTCGACGTGTAGCTTGACTCTTCCTCCGCTCCCATGATTTTTCTCTCTTTACGTTTCCCCACTAATCTAATTCAATGATGTCAATTATAATAAGAGAGAGAGATTAAAGTAACGTACGAAAAGGGGAGACAAAAGGAAGCAAGGAAGGTCCAAGTGAGAAAAAAGCCAGGCTTTCAAGTAAATCACTCGTCGCTATCTAGCCAAGGTTATCCAAAGGGCCGAGGGCGTCCTCATATTATTGCTATGACCTCTCTACTTGACCATTATCTTATCATGTCAACTTATTTTATGCATTTAGAAGGTGTTGACTAAGGCACCTAACTCTCCCATTTGTAAATGAAACAAAAAGGGTGGAGAAGAAAACACAAAGATTATACGATGAGCAGTAAAAGCACTTGAAAGAATCTACTTTGTGATGATCTCAGCTTTATTCAACTGTTGCTTGCTACTTGCTTTGTCCTTCATTCAAATATGCATAGCACCGGCAACCATAACAAATTTGGGAACTATATATACATCTATTGTGTTTTTTTAAGATAGTAACGGGGAGTTACTCTAAAACTACAGGCTGCGATGGACTGAGTGGATGGTCGATCTTATGGAAATTTTAAATTTATATATTTTAGATAATTTTTTTTATTTTTTATCGATAATATGTTTTTATTTCTTAAAATTTTATAAGTTTATCATTTCTAAAATTTTAAAATTGTCCTTAACATAAAATAATGCGTTCGTGAACCTACTCTCAAAATAGATAGAACCAGCTGCTGATGATGAAAGAGTAAAAAAAAATTGAGGGAGCACAGATGTTCATGAATAAAGCTTTAGATTCGATATGTTGGACTATTTTTAAGTGTACAAAAGGGAAAGAACTCGTCACCCCTTTCACTTGAAGCCTTTTTCTTTGAAAACCCATCAAATATTAGGTCTTTCTCGACTCCCATTTTCATTTTTCACCACTTTTCAAGCATTTTGTTCATTAAAAGAATCCACTTTGGACGTTTTTGAGTATCTGGAAAGATGTTATAAACAACATTTCTTGGATGGACTAAAAGAAGGGAACAAAAAGAGAGCAAGGGAGCACATGATGCCAAATTATATTCCAAAGGCTACAAATTTGAAGGAGAATATATATATATATATATATATATATTAAAACAATCAAACTTCTTTCATTATCTTTATCTTTATATGTTAATATTATTACAATTTATAACATTAGTTTATTGATATTTTCGTATACCATTGTTGAAAATATAGACTGCAAAATCACACCGTTAACATTGACTGAGAAAAATAAATAACAATTCAAAAGTTAAAGTCGTAAATTGTGTCGTGGAAAAATCACTACTTAGAAATGAATTCGCGTCAATGTGTGTAATTGCTCCAATAGGTGGATCGTCCCCGAGATTAACACAAGGTCGCTCCAAATTTTGTACACCCGAAACCGGAGTGGGACTGTTAGCAATTTTGCACTTCTTATCGAAAAGTGTAGAGAGAACAACTTTAGAAACACTAAGAGAGTGAATAGTGAGTTGTAGAGTGAGTTGAGAAGTTGAATTCAGCTCTCTATTTTAGGCTAGAAATAGGGGTATAATATCCAACAAAAAATTAGTTTAACTCCTGATATTAACCGCTTAAATTAGATTATCTCTTTGTCTCTCCTTTGAACAAAACTACAAATCAGTCCAGATACATCTTAACGTTCTAATTTAATTTAGGAAAATAATTGTTAAATTTATTTAATTTTAGATGAAACCTTTCACATTTTCATTTGTTCTTTCAAAGAGAAATTCCACATGTGTCGAAGACACATATAACCAAAACCACAAGACAGATGACAACAGCGGTGCATAAGAGTCCCCCTTATTCTCTATTACACAAATAAGGAAGTGGAGAATGCAAACCTTAAATGCTCATTTCAATAGTGTTTCCATCTCTATGTGGTATTGAGCATTACCAACAACCATGTAACGACGTAACTATTTGAGAAATTATGTAAAAGATCAATACTTTCTTTTATTACTAAATTACTGGATGAGTATATACTCTTTTTAATATATTACAATTATTAGTAAACAAAAAACATGATTGCTCAATTATCATATATGATATACAGAGGAAACCAAATTACATATGACAAGTTATCAGTTTATTAATCTCTTACCTTTTTAATTTAACTTAAGCATCAAGCGTTCCCACAACTACCATTGTTATGCAAGAGAAAACCGATTGTCTTCCATACCAACGGGAAATGTGTGTTACTATCGTTATCCCAGAAAAGAAATTTGTGGCTAAACCTGAGTAATAAGGACCAACAAGACAACATACCATTAAACCAGTTTTAAACTTTATCATAACACATCGGGGAAGTAGCCAGGAAGTGGCTAAACCTTCAAGATTGGTTCTGAAACTTATTAAAACAAACGTAAATCTCAAGGAAAAACAACAAGATAATGTCTTGGTCGGTTTTACTTGGAATATGTCATCCATGGGAAACCAACCAACAAGAACTAATTGCAAACTAAATGCCAACATTTGTACTCTTACAGGTTGATTCACTGAGTCAATGGAACTGCACCACAAACCAACACAGTAAAGATAAAACCTTACCCCAAATCTTTATATTTCTAAATTTGTTAGTGTAGTTGCGTCGGCTAATGTTTAAGCCGATTGCATGTGAATGAATCAATAGAAATATCAAAGCGTAAACAAAGATACAAGAGTATTTGTTTACACAATTCAGATTAATCAACGATCCTACTTCTATTAAGACTTGCTTAGATAGATATCCGCTATTAGTATTCTTTAACACAAAAGACGTCAATTTTCAACTTAATTACACATTAATTATAGGCTCTTCTCTTATAATATTATTCGAATTTGTCTCTCATTTAAGTAATTCACATCAGTTATTTAACACTTGTTGTAAATACAACTTTCGAAACTCCCAATAAAACACTTTCATTATTAATTTAATTTGTGCGAAATAATAAAACCATCAATGCCTTATATAATTCAAAACATAAATTTATTAAACATAGATAAGGGTCAACTTGAGTAACACGTCTTTATTTTCCACTTCAATTTTTTAGATTTTATCTATAAAAGTATATGCTCAGATATTCCATTTAGAACAAAGAAACTTCCATAAAGTCCCTACTTTCCAAACAAGTAAATTTTACAATACAGTGCTTTATCAAACAAGGTCACTTGACAAATGAAGTCTTCCATCTCATCAACGTTTATCTTTTAAAAAAAAAATCATTGAAGTAAATCAAATTTATTCATGTGAATAAAAGTATGCTCAAATAAGAAAATTTTGTGATACACTATCCCGAAGACTTCAGTTTCGAAACCAATAAGAATTTAATGAAAAATCTTCATATTGGTCTTCACAACACGTCATCTAATATGAAATAATCCTCTAGAAAATGGTAATACCATTTAAACAAAACATGCCATCAAAATAATTTCAAAACATTGTGATCGAAAGTGTCCAAATCACTGATGGACACTGCCTCAGCCATTGGTGAATAGAAAACTACTTCCACGTCTTTTGCAACAACAAAAACCTAAAATGTTCATAATAGTCTTTTTATTCTTTTACCATAAACCAAATTTAGTTTCTCCACCTTATTCTTCTATTGTCTATAACAAAGGTCTCTTCGGAGAAAAACTGAGCAAAATAAACTGACAACATTTTCCTTACCACCAAGAACAAAATAAAGCCATTTAAAGAAGAAGGGTTTCAAACTTTCAAGCTTCAAAAGTATTATCTGAATCCGCGCTTACAGTCGTCTCTTAACCCTCCAAAGATGAGGAAGGTAATTTGCAACTTGAACTCATCTTTTTCACCTCCTCACTTGAATATATGTAGATCTTTCTTACCATGTTGCAAAATTCCCTGCAGTTTAAATAAACGATGAAATGTGTTTTTCGAAAAATCAGCTATGAAAAATGTATGCATGTGTATATAGAAAACGAGGTTCTAAGTTACTTACACCCAAGGATCGTCTCCCACAAGCATCATATCACCCTCATCATCAATAAAAACAATAGTCCACTGACCGCCACAATAAAGCTCTCCCTTGATATCAAACATTTTCTCCAGCTCATTTCTGAGATCATCATATCCTTTCAATGCAGTCAAGTCAACAGCACGATCAACTGCTATCCCTTGCATGTGTACCTTAATACGACGTCTTATGGAAGTTTCATAACCCTGCTTAGCCTGCATATCTTGGGTTAACGTCTTTGATGCAACTTGCTTATGCCCCTTTGAAGTTCCCGGGATCTGATCGATATGAGATGCAACTGGCATAGACCCTTTTACACCATTGTAATCAACAGTTGTGTTCATTCGATCTTTGTCTGAGGGGCCAGCTACAGAAGTGTTATCTGTCAAATTAAACCCAAACAACCGAAGGCCTGTAAAAAGTCTCAAATTTTCTTTTTTCAGTTTGGTCGTGCATCAAGCTCTTGGCATAACCAACAAGATCAGTTTGCATTGTTTCAGTTTTGTTGTTGTTATCTGTTGAATCAGGAAAAAGGTTTAGAAAAACATTCACAAAAGGAGAATGTATCCGACCCTTTTTAGTTAAAGTCATTGATTTATAAACTCCACTACCATTATCGACTTCTTTCTGCTTCATTGTCCATGTAACTTGGCTTTCACTGTTCAATGTGCTTCCCACTTGCCTTAGTTCATTAGATTGGCTTGGCCCCCGACACCTAAAGGCTGAACCAGCTGAATTTGTAATAATTTATACAATTTCAATTAATAAACAAAACCTAAATAAATTCAGTACTCAAAACTCTATAAAATTATTAAAACAATAGTTTCCCCATACCAGAAGATGGAGTATCATCAGGTCGCAGTCTTTTGTTTTTTAAGGCTTGTTGTACAATATTCACAGAAACAGGAGCAGAAGCCACAATTGGCTCAATTTCCCAAGGAGAAACTCTTTCTGGTCTTTTTATTGTTTCAGGTTCATCCCACTGAACCTAAAAGGACAAATAGTTGGAAAAAACTACTATTAAAAACAAGAAAAGTAATTCAAATCACTAAATCAAAACTATATTCTTCAACCTTCAAGGACCGCCATTTAGATTCCGACCAATGTGGGGAAATATCACCAACCCCAACTATAGTACCTGTCAACCTGATGTTAAAAAGAAATCCACATAGGTAAAAGGATCAAGAGAGAAAAGATAAAAAATGACAATAAATGGAGACAAACATACCTTATTTCAGCAGAGTTTTCTCCCTCAAATCTCATCTTAAAACGCATGCCGGTAGAGAATCTATTGTTAATGGCCTTCAAATACTTATTTACTCCTATCATGAATTGGCTTGTCCTGAACAAGAGAAACAGAAAGAAAATCATTTCAAAGATAATCATAATAAAAAATGGTATTGACAAGTGTTGACCATGTTACACGAAGAGACAATGTTAAACCTTGGTTTGTAGTACACTGCAAAGAGTGTACGAGTTTCAACAGCATGAAAAGCATTAGCAAGTACTCCTAAATGCATGCTCTGGCTGGATATCATCGACGAAGGCATTGCAATTTGTTGACGAGCAAGCCGTCTAACCCCAACTCTTAGTTCTCCGTTATCAGCCCTAGTAAAGCATGTAGTGCAATTACAAGCATAAAAACTACAACAACAAAAAAAACCATAACTAAAGAAAACATGCATGCACACACTATAGATCTAAAAGCCCAATTACCTCAGAAAGACAAATGCATCTTTGGCAACTAATCTTTTAGATGTAACAAAAGTGCTCCACCCTGTTGTGAGTAAATGTCTTCGTGGTTGCCCTAGTCATTTGTAATTACAAGATAAAACTAGATAGAGTGAGAAAGAAGAGAGATTCAACTTTCCAATTAAGAGGTTTATTTACTAATACAGAAACTATCACACACTAAGAACGCAAATCTTATATGACAACAAACTATTACCTCTAAATATATGCTTGAACCGCCACTCATACCCATGAAGATCTTTGGCAACTAACTCTTGAGTTGGAGTTGCTAGGTTCATATCCTGTTCAAAATAAATAGAAAGAGTTTTTTAATCAAACAACATAATGTTACAGTATAAAAGTTTAATAAGGATTAGTAATGGAAAAGTAAAGTTTTACCAAAGGAGGAAGGCACTCTGTCGCATGCTTCCGGAGAACCGAGAACCCTCCATGAGTGCTAGCGTCTGATGCTGTTAAAATCTTACAGAAGGAATGGACTATTCTCTTTGGAGCCTCATTTGGGACGGGATCAGGATAATGAGGCTCAGCTTGCTATAATGATAACATAAGGATGCATCAAAAACAACAAGGGAAACCAACTATTTTCCTCAAGACTGGTCAAAGAACTAATTCCCTAAACATTATTTTCCCTCGGTAAATCTATCAGCTGAAAAAAAAAGGAAAACCATGAAATAAGGACTGGATAGCATTTACATACATATGCTTCAGGTTGCAAAGTGATCTGAGCATAAACCTCGTCTGTTTCTTTTTCTGCCTATATAGATAGAATAAAAAAGAGAGAAATAGTTAATAAGATGATTACGTCAAGCTCCAATAAATAAATATTAAGAAATAAAATCAAATATAGAATACCAGGAACTCCACGTGAGCAACTCTACATAGGATCTTTGAGGGAAGATTAAATCGTGGGGCTTGATTGTCCAGTCCTTCATTAGTTGATGCTTCTAACTGCAGAATACATCAGTGTGCTGAATTTTTTATAAACAAGAGGATGGTTGATTTCGAAATTTCTATCTAAATCGTAACTATTTAACCAAAACGAAGAACCCAAATAATTCTTTAGAGATAATTACTTGTTCCATGTGACCCTGAGGGAAGTAAAAGACTCTCTCGTGAAGCCGAGGAATCTCCACCAACGGGCCTGCGCATAGCTTCCATAATTGTGAATGTAGATCATCCTTAGTCAAACCTATCAAACAAAAAAATGAAAAGAAATTTTATTTTGAAAAATCTATTCAATTCACTAGTTCAAAAAGAGGGGAAAAAGTAAGATCAAACAGGATCCAACCAACAGAGACCATAGAGGGGAAAAATAGGAAAAACAATAACTTCAAGCTTTGGTCGGTTATTGTGAAAACGCAAGAAAAACTAGCCTTCAAGGATTTGTCATGATGTAAAGCTTCCACCAAGAAAAATTGAAGCTGATAAACTAAACCCAATTGAGCTTAGTTCATTTTCTTTAGCAAGAACACCAATGTTCATACGATAACGATACAACAATCTAAACTCTAAAAACTAAAACCTTTTTCGTTTTCTTCTAGTTTCTCAACAACCAAACAAAAACTATTTTCTTAGACACCAAAAGAAACCAACTTTTTTATAAATTCTAACTCAACATTCACCTAAATTAACATGAGCAATCATGAAACCCCTTGGATTACCTTCTAAATTAGCCATCAGAACAAGATTGTACCGACGATGCCAAGAAAGTAAAGCACAAAGAAGAAAAATAAAACGTCTTTGAAGCCAAACAGAGTGGCTGAGTCTACCCCATTAATGATAATAGAGAAGATCCTTAGGAAGAGGCGAATAAGGAAAGAAATTAAAATTTAAAACTAATATGAAAAAGACCAATTAGACCTGACGGTTATATATGAATTCTTCGCTGGTAGTTTCTATGTAACGACGGTTGAAGATTATTTCCTTTTCTTTTACATCTTTTAATAATCTTTAGCCACGTTTCGTTTCCGTTACAAAACCAGTTTCTGCTTTTGTCTGTTCCCTTCAAAACCGCCTTCCTTTTGAAGCTCCAATACTGCTTTGTCCAATTTGAAGCACTTACAATGTAAGCACTCATGTAGGGAGATATGACACATTATTAAAGATTCTCAACAACAGTGTTAAGCACATAGAAGCCTTGTTCGTCGGTGCTAGAGGATGAGATAAGCTTGTTGAAAATGTCAAGGACCTCATTTAGTATTCCCTCTTGATCGAGCTCATGGGGTGCCTTTTGAAGGAAAGCCTGAAAAAAGAAGGACGAGGCAGGAATATTTGAAGATCCCTTCAATGAATCAGGTGGGAGAAGATGCAAAAGATCTGCATGTAACTTGGAGAAATAGGTGACCCTTTCAGCTCAATGAGCTGAACCAGCAGCTCGGAAGCATAAGGCAAAAACTCAGTAACATCATTGGCCAAGATTGTTTGGAAACTGGGAAAGAGGCTTGCTTCAAATGCTGATATAAGAGAGACATCCCTCTCGCATGCTGATAAGAATGGCCACAAACTCAAAAAGATGATTGAAAATTGGAGTTTTGGGATTTCTGCAAACTTCATTGAGAATAGAGGTTAACCCATGAATGCAAGGCCCTGCAATCTCTCTGTGCAAATGTCCGCCATTCCAAGAACACACATTAGACATTTCATTACATACTGACTCTCCTCGGACTCTGGAAACTTCAAAACACTGAAGGTCTTTCAACAACACTGGCACACAAGGAGTAACACCAGCTTAACTCTACCTAGCTTTCCCCCCCTTCATCCTTGATAAGCAAGAGTTTTTCAATACGGAAAGCAGCATAAGAGTTCAACTACATTTGATTTCGCACCCAAACACCTAACCGAATCTGGGAACAATTGAAATGCAACAAGCTTTTGTATCAGACCATAAAACATTGTGAAGAATTTAAGAGATTAGCATCTTGGCTTTGCAAATTAGGGACGATAACAATGTGAAGGTCTGAATATCCAGAAGATCAATTGAAACAGAAGTACCACCAACCTTCCGTTGCAAGCAACACAACTAAATATATTGCACAGTCTTTGTCCTTCCAGTTGCCAGAAGGGTTTGCAACAAAGGAGTTCAAACAAATTTTGTATCTGAATAGAAACAATATTACTGACTTCCTTTGTAATTGGTTGCAACTCCTTTAAGCAGTTCACAAGCTATCCTTATCTGCATATCAAGACCCCTCCCTTCCATATCTCTTCTTATGAACTCAAAGTAATTCTTCCCAAAGAGCACCCCACCCATGGTCATCCCTCAATTGCACATTTGGAATCACAATATGCTGACAAATCTGCTGTGTAACACCCTTAGATGCAAACCAATTATGATGCTAGCTTGTACTAACCGTGGTATTAACTTCATTGCAATAACAGCCAGTTTTTCACAGCCGGAAGGCGCACACACATCTGTAAGCAAATTACAAATGTCTAATGCCAAACCATTTAAATAACCTTGAAATTACTCCTCGTTCTTTTATACCTAAAGACTAATATTTTCAAATATTGCAGCTCTAAGCTCATCGACCAATGCTATCCCATCAGCTACTCTCATGTGAACGGTAATTTAATAAACTCAATCATCCAGTCTCACATATTATCCTCAAATAACTCAGACAGTTCCTGAAAGTCCAACGAATAGAAAATCCTACAACATAACCTTCAAAGAGAAGTCAAACCGCTGCCGGAAGAGGCAGCCGTTGATTCAATTAATGAAGTGATCTTAAGAAAATCTCTAACAATGGAGCCGCAAATATATCGAAACAAGTCTTTAAATCTTGTAAAAGATTGTTTTTTTTATACTAATGCCTAAATTTCTAAAAAAAATGAATTGGGAGTCCCGAGAATACCGTTAATGGAAGCATAATCAACGGATTGGGAAGCCTTTTGAAGATTGGAGACGATCTGCAGTAGCAAATTCGGCCTAGATTTAGGGAAGCCGTACTTTCCGATAACAGCTAAGGCTTCGCAGAGCTGGATTTGAATGTGAGAAGAAGATAACATGACAGATGCGGTTTTCTCTTTGATAACGTTCTTTTCGTGGTCGAGAATAGGGAATCAAATCGGCCAGTGATGGGATCATTAGAGGGAACCTAACGGGAATGTGGTTTTTGAAGTTAACAGAAGCGGCTTGACGGACCTGCTCTTCGGCGTAAGGCTCGGCAACGAGACTGAGAACGGTGAGGCCACAGTTAGGACGAGCGGCGGCTTCAGAAAGCGAAGACTCCGTGTCAGAGATCTGAAGAGAAAGCATTGTGAGAGGAATTGAAGGGTTTCAGAATCGCATTCCATTATCAATTTCAAATTCAAACAAAAGAAGAAGAAGAATCTAAGATCGCCGGAGTATAAACGAGCGAAAGAACATAATTTGGTGTAGTAATGCAGAGAGTGAAGCGGCGGAGGAGCGAGGCTTAGTTAAAAAAGGGTAAACTACGTATTTAGTACATAAACTATCAGTTTTACTCCGTTTTAATATTTAAACTTTCATTTTCTTCAAATTCATATTTAACGTTTAGTTTTTGTTTCATTTACATCGCCGTTAAAAATTTAACGGAATTTTTGCACGTGACACTTTTTTATAAGTAAATTATATCATTCATCATTTAATTATCATTTCACTCTTATTTTGGTCATTAAAGTTTAATTTTTTTAATTTAACTACTCAACTTTTAAATTACTCATATTTTAATCACTATAGTTTATTTTATTAATAATATTTTGTGACATGATTTTTTATTAATATATAATTAAGGCTTAATACCCAAAAAAGTGCTTGAATTATATTTTTTTGTGAATAGGTGCCTACAGTATTTTTTGGACAGTCTAGGTACCTAAAGTCACAAACGTGACTACTTTAGGTGCCTATGACGTAGCGACTATTAGTTTTATCCGTTAAGTGAAACGTGTCACAATCTGGCAATTTTGAAATTTATTTTTTTAAAAAATATTAAAAATATTATTATATTTATAAAAAAAAACTAATTTCTTTTTTAATTGCAAAAAAACCTCAAAATCCCCAAATCTAACACTAACTCCTGTCGCTGCCCTTTATGGCCACAACCACTATCGCCGATGTAATCCTTGCCACCATCCTAGTTATATGTCGTCATAGTTGTCGTCAATTGGTCGTCGAAATTGTGTGGGATCGCGATTTTCATCATAGAGTTCGTGTGGTATAAAACGTCGATTCATCGTTTATCGATTACGATTTCATAGGGGTTTTGGTCGCCGGGGGGAGGTGAGGTCAAGTAGAGCTTCGTCGACGGTAAAGGGCGGTGGTCGGCGTGGGTTTAGGGGTTGAAATAAATGTTTTTAAAGTTTTGGGGTTATTTCAAAATTATTGTGTTTTCTTTTTAAAAATATATATAATTTTATTTTTTAAATTTTATATAAAAATTTTAAAATTATCATATTATAACACGTGTCACTTAACGGAGGAAATTAACACCGTTGACGGCCATAGCAACTAAAGTGATAATGTTTGTAATGTTAGACACCTGGGGCCAAAAAATATTGTAAGCACCCATTCAAAAAAATGATATAGTTTGAGCATTTATTTGGTTATTAAGTCTATAATTAAAAAAAACCTTTTTGAAAGTTATAATGATTAAATTAGGTGTAATTTGAAAGTTAAGTAATTAAATTAAAAAAATATTTCAATGGCCAAAATATGAGTTATGAATGATGTAATTTACCTATAAAAATGTGTCAAGTAGTAACAGTTCCGCTAAGTTTTTAATGGCAGGATACTAAAATGAAACAAAAACTAAACGTTAACTATGATTTTGAAAAAATTAAAAGTTTAAGTACTAAAAATGGTTAAAATTAATAATTTAGATACTAAACACGTAATTTACCCTTAAAAAGATTAGACGCTAGAAAACGTTTTCAGTTTGTTTAATGTTATAAAAGGTATCTGTCACAGCGGTTAAAAAAGTTATTATCTAACACGTATTGTATTTATAAATTTTTGATTTAAATTTCTTAAATCTCTAATTTAATCCATATTAATATCGAAAGACTTTCTGATTGATCAGAGTCATTTCTAACGAGTGCAACGACGACGAGAAAAATAGTGATAGAAAATTATTCAGTCAATGGACTTTTCAATATTCGATTTCACTTTATTGTTGTCGTCAATAGCTTCTTTAAAGATAGATGTAAGATGAACGACAATAAAATACCATAAAAATCAGTTGTTGCATCATTCAATCAGTTGACATTATCATTATCGCCGTCGAAATTTATCCACCAATCACTTAATTTGGAAAATAAGGTGTTTTGAGCTGTGACATATTTTGTAAAAAAATAGAAAAGTTTAGAGTTTTTTTAAATTATGTAATTTATTTTATATAAAAATAAAGGAAATAAAAACTTAACTTACGTATAAAATATTGATTTTGGTTGATTGACTTTTAACGGATTTGTTTAACGCCTGTTACGACGTATATACTTAAAATATAACTTTTGTAACTTTAGGTACTTAAATTGATCAGAAAAATATTTAGGTACCTACATGAATTAGTATAGTTTGATTTTTTTTGTATTAAGCCAAAAAGAAAAAGGTTAAAGGGTATCTAACTACCTCAAACTTTAAAAAGAAATGTAACTCTTGAAATTTTTTTAATATTTAATGTACCTTTCGAACCCAAAAAAAAGTTAATTTAGTCTATATATCATATCATTAATTACTATAAACTGCCATATTAATATTGTAGATTGCCACATTAGCGTTGATGACTGCCACATCAACATTTAATTCAATTAATCAAATAATTATATTAGTTTTGTCAACAACTTATAAAGCGAGTTATTAAAAGTTCTTAATTGACAATCTCCTCTTCCTTAGCTTATGAGTTCAATATCCATAGAGAGAGAGAAAATTATCTTCTAAATAGAAATTATTTAAAAAATATATATTATTTTTTTTCAATTTAAGTATGACATTAAATGTATAAAAAGGTGAAAGAAACATTAATTTAGGTATCACATTAAATGTATAAAGTGGGAATTTAAGGAATGAAATAGGGAAATTGGGTGGGTGTCTCAAAAAGTTAATAATACAAGGGATGGGCCTTTTCCTTGTTTATCAAAGTCGTAAAAACAAATGGGTCCCAAATATTAAAAGCTCAACGGACACTGGCTCAATAGGTCCAAATTTTGAATTAAGATTATATTGCAGTGATTTATATATAATATGGTCATTGCAAAAGAGATCATTGTGAGTTGTTGATTTGCCTTTGACTCGATCACCGGCCACATGTCGTCCGTCTGTACCAAAATTTTGCAGTTGGAATCTTAATTGCTGGGTCTTTTTTCTTTAATACTCCCATCGCCTATTATGTGTTCTCAAAAATTTTAATTGACCTGAGTTCAAATCCATAATGTTGTAATCCATATTATAAATGTAGGATTTGACTTAGTGTATTGTAATCTATATCATAAACTCATGATTTGACTTGGTACGCGTCTAATTCTTTTCTAAGTTTCAGATTTGATTCTTCTCTCCAACGTCATGATTCTTTAACTTATTTCCCTATAATCAAACGAAGACATGCCGTGCCACTTGTAATTATTTGATTAGAGAGTAAGATTTATTGAATTAAATTAAATTAAAATTAGGATTAAATTAATAGAATGTTTAAGTTTTGAGTTGATGACCAAATATGTTATTATATTGATGATAGATGACTTGATTAGTATAGTTTAAATAGTTAAATGATTTGATTAATAAAATTAAAAGATAGATGATTATATTAAAATCTCTTTATAATTGAATGATCATGAGTATAATCTATTCTCTTTATAATTGAATAAGCATGTGTATAATTTTATAGATTAATCTGTGGGGATAATTTAAACATAAAAATATTTTTGCATTTACCATATTAAAATTAATATATAATCTTTACTACGTGAGTGGAGTAATATGATATTTCTACATGTTATCTCATAAGAATATAGATAGTGTTAAAGGTATAATTTTTTGGATGGAAATTTGTTAATAGTAGTTATGTACATATATTGCAATGTAGTTATTCAATTTAATTTTTTTAAGAAGAATAATATTTTTTTACTATTAAAATTATTTAATAAATCTAACATTTTATTAAAAATTAACTGCTAGCTAAGTAAAAAATGTTTTCTTGATTTCGATAAAAAGAATACATTAGCAGCACCAGTTTTTTTAGACACATCAAAATTTTCCATTTTACATCACATCTTCAATTTTCACGTCCTCCGTCGGAATCTGTCACCGTTACCCAATAGAAATGTTTATAAAGATAAAAATATCAGATAAGAAAATTCTGTTGAATATAGATCAGATTAGATTGAGTCAACTCAATCAGTAACTAAAGCTCAATTAGTTTCAAATATTAATCACTAAAAAAATGTAACAAATATTATTTTGTAATATTCTAAATTATTAAAAAAACAATTTAATATTTTTTAAATAAAATTAAATTCTTCAGGGATCAACATTATATATACTGTACAGCAAAAAGAAAATTCAACATTATAAATATAGGCAAATTACCAGAAGTAAAAGCAAAATTGATTTTTTAAATAATATTTAATTTTTTGAATTAATCACCGATATCCGATCTATGGATTGACTAATTCAGATCGAGTTTTACAAAAACAATAATGATCCTTCCAATCTAACTTGCTTCATTCACAAACATAATATTAACATAATAAAAATTCTAATAGATAAAAAAAAAAATTCTGGAAACGGACGCTATCGCCCCTAATATTTGAACAGTGGCTTGATAGGAAACCTGTGATGTAGTACCAAGTTTCCAAGCCAATGCCAAATCACAAAACTCGAAGCATTTAGTATAACATGCCATAACTGTAGTACATATACAGCAATATGAAGAGGCTCATTGATTCATTTATGAATTTATTCTTTTCTACCACACCATCAAAGACATGCCAAGAACTGTTGCAGAGCCTCTCCTTCCGGCCACGCCGAGTCGGCCGCCGCGAATGTCCATTGACAGCCACTAATCATTAGCTCCGGCAATTCGATTTCACCCCAGAAGTCTTCACCGCCATGTCCATTCCCTTCTTCGGCTGATACGTTGTTTTTATTACGCGAAATTACCGAATGCGCCGCTTTTGCAGCTGCGTCCTGAATATCTCTAGCCGTGCACGTCGACGGCTTCGGTAAACCTTCCACTTCGTCGGGAAAATTTAGCCGCGCCTTACTTCCACGTAAGCAAAAGGCGGCGACGTCGTAAGCTTTAGCAGCCATTTCCGGGGCGGGAAACGAACCGAGCCAAATGCGAGACTTCTTGCGTGGTTCTCTGATCTCCGACACCCATTTGCCCCACTGTCTTTTCCGGATACCTCGATAGACAGCATGCCGAGTGCTGCCTCGCTTTGTGTCGTTAGTTTTGCCGTTGATGGTGGTGGTAGAGCTATTCAAGTCATCCTCGGTGTACGTTGGTCGTTCCATTGCATAAAAACCGTTGGCTTTGGTGTATCGTGGGCACTTATATTTGCATCAGACAAGTAAAATTACAGGAACACCCATAATAAACAGTGAGGGATGTTACTTGTAAAAGAAAAAAACATTTAAACTAAACTAAATTAAGTGTAAGAGCAATTATAATATAATTTATTAAAAATCAAAATTAAATAAGAAGGTACATAATAAGACATGAAAAAGAAACTGAATAATACAAGTATGACGTAAAACTGTATCCTGCCGTCATTGTCGTAGAGCTCCAAAACGGTAAAAGGTGAGGTGTCCGGAAGTCTCATTACAAACCCAGAATTCCGTGACACCTTTTTCTTCATATGATTTTCTGTGGCTTCTTTTTAGTTGCGTTAATTTTGACAATGAATCTTTGTGGGTTAATTACACCACTCCATTTCAGTGCCTGCTGGTCTCCCTTTCTCCATCTATTTTCCAACTTTGTATGCTATTAAAAATATCCATTCTACTCCATCCCACATCCACTCTATTCGGAACGAATCGTGTTGAACGATTCGAATTTTACCGACCTCAAAATATATACATATAAGGTTAAATATGTAAGTTTATTTGTGATCATTATAAACTTTATGATAAATTTGATCATAGCCTTGGTATTAAGAAATGTTTTTGATAAATGTATAAATAATTATTTTCCAAATAAATAAATGTAGTAGTCAATTTTAATAGGATGAAACATGTGTACCACGTCAATGTCATGTTTTCCTTTATATTCCTTTTGTGGTGGCTTTTAGGTTCAGCCGTAGCAAAGCTAATCCAGAAGGAACTACAACCAGCAATATCTCCTACGATTTTTCTTTTAGTTTTCATATTCGAATTAGATTATTTTATTCATAAAATACATTTAAATTTCCGAATGTTCAAATCTATCTTTATATTGGTTAATCAGTTACAGCTAACTATTTAACACTTTATATATATATATATATATATATATGCACGTTTTGCAATGGGTGTTGAGAATGTGATAGATGTTATGTTTCTTGATTGGCACCGAGTACTGATGTTAACTTGGTTTCCCAGAAAACATGCAAGGAAATCGTGCATATGCCTATGCTGCTATAATTTGACCCCTTGGTACTATTTTGAATTCCTAGACCAACATTTACTTTCCCCGGCAATTAAGCGGTGGTTTGTTGAGATATTGAGCTGAAATTGTCTAAAAGAGACGATGTTTGGGCAGCAAATATAAATCAAACTTTCGTTACCCGAGCTTTGGCCTCTCCTATTGCAATGATAGAACCTGTCAGGGACACGTGCATGACAGGAGATATTTTGTCTTAATTGTAACTTCTTCACGTGTTCGGCCAATACTCTAAAACGTCGTTACAAGGCCTTGTTTGATTTGGGGAGAAGCAGAACCTATGTCCACCAATTAAACCTCGTCGAACATCAAATATTTGATGAGTTTGAGGTTAAGTGGTCTCTCGCATGCCACATTTGGACATGGTGAGCTCACAGAGGAATTCAATAATGGGGGGGCACTTTTCTGGATGAATGAATGGCTCTCGAGTTTCGTCCAATGTTATGTTGGAGAGAGTAACAAGAACAGACCATTCACCCGGCCAGTTGTTAACCAAGAGTCAGGTTGTTGTCAAAGGTTAACGTAATCTGTGAATACTTCAGTTACTGGTGCCACTGGCAATGGATCTGCTCCACTTAAATGGTTAGCTGGTTACCTCAACCAAGCTAAAAACAAAAAGTCTTCCTTAAATGAGGTCTAAATTCGAACTCCAGAAAATTTATGTCACACTCACAATATGAACTTATGAAAATATTATGTCTTTCATTTCCATTACTATAGTTATATATGTTATATATAATTAATTTATGTCACACTCCAATTTAGGGGCTAAAATTAAGAAATTATAAAGTGGTAGATTTAATTGGTATTTTGAAGAAAATTGTGGGTTAAATTGTAAAATTTTAAAGTTGGCAGACCGTTTTATGAAGTACAGGAAGTTCAGTGGTTAAACTCTTGGTTTAATCATTTTTATTTATGAGATGATATAAATCCCCCGTATGTTTCTGGAAAATTTTTCCAGTTTTCCCTCTCCAACAACCCTTCTTTGAACTCCGATCTACTCGCAGTCCGACCTCCGATCGACGAGCCGAAACCACCATCGTGTTCGTTGTCGAGCGAGAAACAAAACCCCTCAAAGCTTTTGTCGTGAATCGTCGCCGTTCGTCGTTAATTTTAGTCAGAAGTATCATCGGTAATAACTCGATTTTAGTTGGTTTTTCATCGATTCACGACGATCGGGTCATCCGTTTACGACACCTCCCTCACCATCGTGTTCCTTGTTCCGTTCCGAGTCTGCCGGTGTCATCCTTGGTCTCCGTCGACGGCGGCGCGTGAGGAGGTGAAGCGGTCAAAGTTTCCGATTCATTAAAATCGAGCTCCCCGTCGTTTAAAATTGTGAACCGAGCTTTGTAAGTATCTCGAAATCGCTCAAAATAATTTTTAGGATTTTTTCCGGGAATTTATCACTGTTCAAGCGCCGCCACTGCGCGTGGGGAAGGAAAAAGTGACCGGTTTGACCAGTCACAACCCGACCCGACCCGTTGACCCGACCTGTTGACCCAATCCGATCCGTTGACCCGACTCGTTGGCCGTTGACCGGCGTTGACCACTGTTGACCAAAACATTGACCGGATTTGACCGGGCATTAAACGACCTTTGACTTTGACTGAGTATACATATCCTGACATTTTTCGACGTTCCAAATCCGAATCCGCAGTTCGTTTCTCAAAATTCAGACCCGAAGGCTTCGAAATTGCCAGTCAAACCCGTTGACTTCGATTTTGACCAGAAATTCCGAATTTTCGAAAAGTCATATTTTATGCTTTTGACGTCCTGAATCTGAATTCGAAGTCCGTTTTGCCAAATTCGAACCCGGTAAGCTATTTTTCACTGATTTATCACCTGATTCGATCCGTTTATCGTAATTAAGCTCCGTTTCTGATATAATTTATGTTAATATGTATCTGAGGAATTATTGGAAGTTGAATTGAAGATCAAAGGCGTTCAAATGGAATTTTTATGTTCGATCTGTATTGTACGGAAATCGAGGTAATACTTTACAACCTCTTTATGCTTTATGGAACATGTGAATATTGGTAAATGCATGATTAAGATAATGTTGGTCTCATTTGTGTAGTTAATTAGTTTCTACACTTGATCTGAATACGGTAAAAGGGTTCAGTAATTGATTATGGTTCAGATGATTTTTATAAGAAAATGAGGGACTGTTAGAATTAAATTACAAGTTTTGTGCTTAGTGATAAAGAAATCAACATGAATTTGTAACTTATAGTTTATTTCATCAAAAGTTAAATGTTAAAGGTATTTGGATTGGGAAATTATGATAATACTCTGGTAGGGTAAAATTATGAAAATACCCTTAAGTTGTAAGATGTCAAGAATTGTCCCTGGAAGTTGATTAATAACTCTGAAATGATATATTGATATGATAAAACTACATATGTGTTTAAGAAATGCTAGGTTTTGCTTACGAAATACGGATAACCGGTTTTTAAACCCTAGAGGGTTTGTGCAAGATATTAGAATTCTATTAAGGAATCATTTCAAGATAAGAGAATGTTCGGGAAAGCAATTGATCATAGGATCTCTAAATTATAATTATTTTCGTTAAGAGCTAATATTGAAATTATCTGATTAAGAAATTACGGAAATGCCATTGAGAGGTAAAATAGTCTGAGTTGACCCTGAATGAGAAATTACTTTGAGGATTTGTACTTAACTCGATTAAGTACGAATTTAATTGTTAAGATCCTATTTTCGTACAGAAAAATTAATGATATTCCGTTTGTAAAATTTGAGAATGCACTTGACCCGGAAATATTCGAGTAATGAGTAAATACCTGAAGAATAATTTATCGGGGGTATTCTGCTATCAGAATTGTTCGAAAGGACTGAAATAAATGATAAAATTGAATTTAATAGTAAGATCGGACGGAAGAAAAGGATTAAAATACACTGAATCTGTAAAATGACCAAAATACCCCTATAATAGAAATGACCCAAGAATACCACCAAGCTCAGGAATGATTGGATATCCTCGAGCTCTGAAATGAATGGAATAAAACTGAACACCAAAATTACCAAAATACCCTTGTGACCTAGACTAAGTAGATGTTGGATTAATTAAGGAATCCAAATAAACATGGGTGTGGTACTGATCTTAAAAGTTATGGATCACCTATTAAGCCGAGCAACCAATGCTAGTGTTATATCAGTACCTGAACGACATAGATGTCACTTAAATGCATGTTTGTATTTTCAAGTTTGGCTCGATGATAGTTTTGGAAGTATTCAGCTCAACTCTAGAACGCATTCAATAGTAAGGAGTTGATATTTGTTAGACAAATCGACCACGAAGACCAAATTGAATTGAACGAAAGTACAATATGTGTCTGAAATTCAGAAACGTCTAGATTACCCTGAAAACCCTCGAATATTACGGGAATGGACATGACTGCTAAATAAATTAGGTAAACTCAATGATTGAGGATTTAGTAAGTGATTTGGATAAGTCTGGAAACTCTGATGAGTTTACATAGTGTACAATTACGATGGTTTATGATTAAAATAATCAAGTACGTCAGCATTACATGATATTGTGGAAGCGTGGAAATGAAATAAAGACATTGGAAGATTTATTTAGCGATGATTCCGAAAATGGTCTATGGACAAGAATTTGTGGTATTAAAGAGTAAATACCCTGGAAGAACAATGAATTGATCAATCAACAGACATTAGTTCTGGGAACTATTCACCTAAGAGTTGTCCGATAATCCGATCAATCGACATAGAATATAAATGTCCTGAACCTTCATTTCTTCCTTATCAGCTCAAGTCACATTCTGAATAACTGATGATTCTGTCAGTTATTGAACTCTTCCAATAGTGATTCTGAATTCTGTTATTCTTTCGG